GAAAGTCTGTTGTCAGGGACCTCTCCAGAGTACTGAAGAGCAATGATGTCAGTCTGGAGATTAAGGTGTGACTGATCCAGGCCATAGTCTTTTCAATTACCTGCTATGCATCAGAAAGCTGGAGAGTGAATAGGGATGATAGAAAGAGAATTGATGCCTTTGACCTGTGATGCTGGAGAAGAGTATTGAATATACCATAGACTGTCAGGCGAACAATTAGGTTCATCCTGGAGAGGGTGAAACCAGGTTCCTCCTTGGAGGCAAGATTCCGAGGCTTCGTCTGACATGGTTCAAGTAGGAACCAGTCCTTGGAAAGGGTCATCATACATGGAGGACCAGTCCAAGAGAGGAAGATCCTTGATTGAGATGGATTGATTCAGTGACTGGGGTAATGGGGGTAGGTGTGTCAGAGACAGTAAGTTTGGCACAGGATAGAGCAGGTGTCAGGACTATTGTACATAGGGTCACTATGAGTCGCAAGCTACTGAACAGCACATAACAAGAGACAATAACATACCCCATACATTCCAAATTTGCACAGATTATTTAGAATTTATGATTCAATAGTTATGATTATGCCTGAAGGGTTTTTTTTTAATTTAGTTTGTTTATTTTTCATTTCAGTGAACATCTACATGTATGTTTTCTTTTTAAAAAAAACCTATTGACAGAAGGTTTAATATTTTCTCAGTATAAGATATATTTTAAAATGTTAGCAATTGATTTTTCAGCTATTGTTTTCTTTATTATAGCCAAGCTATTAAGTTTTAAAATTGAAAGAAGAATTAATGCATATTCATGCAACCATATAATTCTGAAAGTTTCTTCTTATATTTGGATCCATTTGGTCATTGCCTCACTCTATTTTTCATCTCTCCATATTAATGTATTTACCAATAACTAATTCACTAAGTAATAATAGTCAATGACTTCATCTTACTTGCATTCCCATTAAATCTACTTGGCACAGCAGGCAGAAGATCAGGAGACATTTAATACTGGGAAAGTGTGTAGTGAGGGGCCTCTCCAAATTACTGATAGAGCACAGATTTTAGTTAAAGGATTAAATTGCAGCTGATTCAGACCATTGTCTCTTCAATCTCTTCTTAAGCATCTGACAGTTGGACTATGAATAAGGATAAAAGAAGAAGAAGTAATGTCTTTGAGTTGTGGTGTTGGGTCAGAGTGCTGAATATCCCAAGGACTGCCAAAAGAACAAACACATATGTCCTGGAGAAGGAGCCAAGTTGCTTCTTGGAAGCAAGGATGGCAAAGTTTTCTTTGCCTCACATT